CCATGCTCTCTGCTTCTGGTAGGAGCACCAAGTTTCCTTTGAGGAGCCACCCCTCTCTCATCATGTGCTCTCTTGGTGGAATTGCCACCAAGGTGCTCTGCCTCCCCATGGCAAATAGGCGAGCACTGGACCCAGCTCAGTCCATTGGGCTCTCTCCTCTGGGGAGGAACACGGGGATGAGAACTGACTGGAGAGGATTCACCTGAGGAGGCTGCCCATTAGTTCCTGCCACCTAGATGCCCAAGCTCCCACAAGTTTCTCCATTGCTGAAGCCTAGTTGGACAGCCCTTCCCTGAGTTCTGCCAGTCATTCTATTACCAAGGAAATAAGACCCTTTTATGTTTAGGTTGCCAGAGTCCATGTCTGTCACTTACCACCAAAGCGTCCTAAGTGACACACTCCTTCCTTTCTTTCTTCCTTCCTTCCCTCCCTCCTTCCTTCCTTCCCTCCCTCCCTCCCTCCCTCCCTCCGTTATTTTACATCACACACGCGTGTACACACACACACACACGCGTGTACACACACACACACATACACACACAGACACAATGGAAACAAAGGTTTCACAAGGCAATAGTTACTTTTTTAAAAGTATTTTTATTTCTTGATTTGAGAGAGAGAGAAAAATAGCAATTGTTCCACTTATTTATGCATTCATAGGTTGCTTTTTGTATGTACCCTGACTTGGGGTTGAACATACAACCTTAGCATATAGGGACAACACTTTAACCAACCGAGCTACCCGGCCAGGGCCAAAACTATTTCATTCTTTAAAATTCTGCTTATGCAATTTGCTTATACTAGATTGATTTTGCAACTCACTAACGCATCTGCCGTGTAGCTTCAAAAACCCTGCTCTATTGAGAAAGCTGCTTAAGCTGACACCCGTTTGCATGTCTGAGTGTTTGCAAAAGGAGGCAGGGCCAAGATGGATCTTTCAAGTCTCATAATAACGATTTGTTTACTTGTACAAAGTGTGTTTCCTAGGCCACACCAGCCTGAGGGGAAAACTGAGATCAGAACCACGGCACAGGCTGTTCCTCTCTCTTTCCCTTTCTCTCTCTCTCTCTCTCTCTCTCTCTCTCTCTCTCTCTCTCTTTCTCCTATTGGCTCTCACAGAATCGCCCAACCCTCCACAGAGACCCCTCCTTTCAGTTTCTGAGGATGCCTAGGGAACACTGCACATGTGCCCCCAAACCTCACACTCTATCCTTCATTTTCCTTCTCTTCTGCTCCAGCTGCCTCACGGATCATTCCCCAGTCCCTCTGATGTCTGTGGGGCTGTCACTGCTGCTTGGCCACTAAGGAGGAGCTGCTTTTGGTGGAAAATCCAGTGACTTTGGTGATGTGTGAGCTGAGGGCCTGGATAGGGATGCTGTTGGTTTCATATCCTACAGCATCTTTGGTGCTACAGCTCTGTAAGTAGTTCCTCCTGGTCCTCAAAGGCAATGCCACAGTGCCCACCAAACTGGAGAGAACTCCTTTTACTATAAGAATCCCAAAGTGGATCTCTCTTACTTTCTCTAACTTACACATGTTCAAGGGCAGGGGGCAGAACACAATCTCTACCTTGCACTCAGACCACCTTCTCTTTCTCCAGCTCCAGACCTGTCCTTGGACTAAGATTGGATGTTGTTACTCTCATCCAAACTGGTGAGTTCTTTCTTTCCCAAGAGACTCCTTGGTTCCTCCATGCGAATAGATTCTTGGCAAGGCCACAGTCTGTCATCCTGCCCAGAAGTGCCTGCTTTCTAGAGTGAGCATAGATTTAAGCTAAACCCATTTTTATTTGAGAGCTTTGCTTCCCAGGTATCAGGAGTCACACGTTCAGCAATCAAGTTCTGTCGCGATGATGATGATGACGACAAGCATGACGAATCTTTCCCGGGTATCAGACCCCTTGCTAAGCACATTAGATACATTACTGTATTCATTTCCTCAGGAATTCTGTGTGGCATATACTATTATTATCCTCATTTTACACAGGAGAAAACTGTGGCCCAGAAAGGTTAAGTAGCTAGCCCATGGTCCATGGCTGGCCGTGAAGAGCCAGCCCTGGACCCGCTCAGCACTCCTCTATCGCTGGGACTGGGCACTGAGCTGCCTTGGCCAAGGCCTTCAGCCTCCCTGGGCCTCCTTCCAGCTCTGCTTTCCTCCTTTCGAGGGCCCTCTCCCAAAGCCCCAGGTGGGTGCCAAACCTTATCCAAAGGTCTTCAAATGGGTGGAAATTCCTACGCTTCCACCCTCCCACTTCCCACAGCCCTTCTGGGCCTGGCCAGGGCTTCTAGAGGAGGACTGGTCAGGAAAGGAAGGTTCATCAGCAATAGACCCCACCCCAGACCCCTCAGGGCTTTAGTGTAGCAACTTGCCCTCCTCTCAGTAGTCCCCTCCTCAGACCCAATTCTGGAGGCAGGAGTGGTTTCTCCTCCCTAAATGGCCATCAGCATTCTGCATTACAGTTAAAATTCTGCCCGATCTTAGTTGAATAGGGAATTCAAGTCTGGGCTTAAATGCCATAGAAAAAGAAAAAGTTACTGTCTTTTCAGAATGCCCATTGTAACTTGTCCTTAGGATCCCCCTTTCCCCCGCCCCTTTCTCCACCCTCCTCCCCCCAATCACGGTCTTTTTCCACTTAAACTGACCAAATGAACCACCAGAGAAATACAGCTGCACAGTGAATAGTTATGGGTATGATTTCTTTCCCTCATTCATTTGCCCTCCCAGCTTAACCAAGTCAGAGAGTTTGAAAGACCACTCACCGCTTCTTTGATTATGTCCACAGAGTACGAAGCCAAGGGCTGATGAAGCAATCTTGATAACTTGACACATTTGAAAGTGGAACATGGGGAGTGAATTATCCTGATTGACTACATCCACCAGTTTAACCAAGTATCTGCCAGTGTCGCCCCACGCAGAGTGGTGGCTCTGCCACTCACCATCTGTGTGACCTCTTAGTACCTCAGTTTACCCATCTGTAACATATGGGGATTGGATCTGAGAATTCTAAGGTCCTTCAAGTTCTCAGAGTCTTTATTTTATAGCTATAAAACACATCCTTTACAAGTGAGATAAGTTGGGGGGGAGGTGATTGTTTGAATAAAAATGATTCTCTCTATAAAACTTTCACCACATAATTATTTTATAGAGCACGTTTTCACTGTGTACTTGATGCAGGATCCAATTTCCAAAATACTGACTTTCAGCCAATTTTTTAAATGACACTTTTACTGTTGCAAGTGGGACTTGCCCGTAGGTCACAGTTTCTAAAAACACTATGATAACTCCCTCCCTCCAGAGAATCCCTGACAGTGAAAGCAGTAGAATCTATTCTAAAATCATTACTTCTCTTGGACAGAGTTTTTCTTTTCTTTTCTATAAAAATTATATTTATAAACCTTCAAAAACTGGCTTAATTATAATAATCTATTGGTCCTTTTGAAGCACAAACCAGATATATCACTTTCCTGCCTAAAGCACTCCAGAGGTCTCCCATTGTTCTCCAGGGTCCTGGCCAGGTGGTAGCCAGGCCTCTGCATGTGCTGTTCCCTCCACCTGGAATGTTCTCTCCAACTCTCTCATCCCCCCTACCTTGGAACTCTGCTCTCTCATTACTTCTTCAGGGAGTTGTCAGATCCCTTTATGGTAACTCTGAGGTGCGATCTGACGTTTCCCGGGATGAGCACATCCTGACCAGGAGAGCCTCTTCACTCTATGGTTGCTCATGAAGGCACATGGGTGGCTCACTGCATGGACGACACTGTCCAGGCACTGACTCACAGCAGGATCTCTACCTTCATGGAGCCACCTGTCTTCCAGGTAAACAGTCGAGTACAAGAATGAACACGACTACCAACCACTGCTCTCTCCTCACAGAGCTTACAGAGAATTAAATGAGTGATTAGAGTCATTGTGGGGTGTGCTGTGAGAGGAAACGGGTAGACTGTCCATGCTTCAGGTTCCCATGTAGGATGAATTTATGTCCTAATCACATTTGCTCAAACAACCCTTTTACTGCTTTCAATCTAAGCAGCTGAGAGAGAAAGATCATAGGTTGCCATCCCTGGGCCAGCATGGTAAGGGAAGCCAGGGTCTATTTACCTCTCTCCATCCTAAAAGTCTTCCCAAGCTCTTGGACTACACCGCCCTGCCCCAATGCCAGCACCTCATTTGTTTCTTCTTTAAATGAATTTCCGTTCCAAAGGTTCATACCCTTTCCCAAATACGACAGTAGTCCAGCCTACCATTTTGATTTCATGTTCATAATATTTATAGAACATCGATATCATCCCCACTTGAATAGATCCAGAGATATGGGCTAGATCATGGCAGAACTGGGACCTCAAAGCGAGTCTCCGGCTCTTGGTCCAGCGTTTCCCCCACCCTGTCTCTGCCTCCTGGGCTAAGCCAGGCCTTTTTCAGAGCCCTGAGAAGCCCAAGTTGGCTGCCTCCTGCTGGCAGAGAGTTCCTGCCAGGCGTTGGGTGCTACTGCTAAAGAAGAAGGAGTTCCAGAAGCAAGAAAGGTGGATTATGCACAGAGCCAGTCTCTGCTTCTATTTTCCTCCCTCATCATGGGAGGAGGGAATGGCTGGCACATTGGAGGTGGGGGTGGGGGACTATGTAAACCAATAATTCATGACAATTGATAAATGTCAGAAAAGTACTTACTCACATTCATTCCCTGAAAGTCTCATTCTCCGTGTGTTCTTATCTGTCTTTCAACGGTGGCATTAGTCAGGTGAATTCAGCAAGAAAGACCAACGTTTTAGCCAAATGCTGCGGAGAGAGGGAGTTTGATTTAACTTCATTTTTCCAGCCAGGGCTGGGTCCAAAGCCAGTTTTTCTGACTGGGTTGTTTGCCACACGAAAAGCAAATTCCCAGAGGTTTCTGAGACTGCCGAGCTCCGATGCAAGATGACTGCTGCCACCCACCCGCCCACCCACTCACTAATAAGACAGAACGCCGTCCTATTTTTGGTAACAATTACAGGGCCTCCCGGTGCAAGCAGAAAGCTGTTTATTTTCTGTTACATCACTTCACTTTGCCTTCGAAGGCTGGTCTGCGCTCAGTGTTTTCCTGGTGATGCAAGTCGGCTCTCTCCTCCGGCAGTTGGATCCCTCCCATCTCGCAGCACCTCACAGGTCTCTTCCCCGAGCAGTGCATTGCTGAATCGAGGAGCAGCTCACGAATCAGCTGCAGGTCCCCGTTTTGAAAAGCAGAGATACAGAGGCAAAGGGAAAGGGTGGACTCCTATGTGACCTGATCTCAGAGCAAGACAATCACCAGCTGAATTCCAGAAGCCCTGTTCATGTTTGGGGAGATTTTTCCGACTGCATGGAATCAGAGAGAAGCCAAAGGATGGGAAATGCCTGCATCCCCCTGAAAAGAATTGCTTATTTCCTATGTCTCTTATCTGCGCTCTTGCTGACTGAGGGGAAGAAACCAGCGAAGCCAAAATGCCCTGCCGTGTGTACTTGTACCAAAGATAATGCTTTATGTGAGAATGCCAGATCCATTCCACGCACCGTGCCTCCTGATGTTATCTCATTGTAAGGCCCGTAAGCATTTGTATCTAATTTACGATTTAAAAATTCCAGCCAGTGTATTTGGGGCTTTGTATGTACTGGTAGAAGGGCATGGAGAGAGAGATTCCTCTCGCACACTTGGCCATTTGACAGTGCTAACATTTTGCTGCATTTAGAGATTTTGATTTTGATTAGCTGCTACGGAACATGCTTAGGTACCCCCCACCCTTGAACATTATTATGAGGAACCTGTAGCAGATTCATTTCTCCTACTTCATCTGGGAAGGAACAGTATGGTACTTCATAAAATAGTGTCAAAATAGTGACTGTTTTTGCTAAACTGGATTAACACAAGGTTTGTTCTGTGTGTGTGTCTCTTTGTGTGTGTCTGTCTGTTTGTTTTCTTTCAGATCCTTTGTGAGATCTGGTTTTACTGAAATCTCAGAAGGGAGTTTTTTATTCACACCATCGCTGCAGCTCTTGTGAGAAATATTTATATCATAACTATTTTTAATATAGCATATATTTGGATAAGCCCTCTAGTAAAACAATCTTGATAGTAATGTTTTGAATGTGATTATATTTCTGGAGAGAAAAAGATTATCAGTAAAGTGAGAGGTCCAGGGGTTTGTTTGCAGCGTGACACCAACGGTGCAGGTTGATTCTTGCAATGGGAAATTCGCTAACCTGTAATGCTGTCTACTTTCATGGCTATGTATGAAGTTGTGGGAACGTTGCCACAATGATTCCAATTTCATTCCACTATTTTACTTTCATTTTTGACTTGGGAACTTTGGTTATTTTGCCCTGGAGTTTTTGAATTAGTCAATACAGAACCCAGCATAACATATGTGCTCAAGATGTTGTCTCCCGGGGATCTGGGGCAGGCTGCTACTCTGTGTGATTTACCATGGGGGGGTGGCGGGGGGGGGGGTGGGAGGACTTGGTTCTTTCTAGGTAATTCTGTAAAAGATTCATTCTGGAAAGATTGTTTTCTAATCTTATCTGATTTATAATTAGTTCCCTTGCAAGAAGAGAAAGAAAATAATATAGGGTAGTGCAAAGGCTTAATCTCTGCTGTTGTGTTTTGAGTTAGCCACGAGGGAACTACATATTCAGTCCATGTCTCAAAATAGTCAAAAAATAATATTTGACTCAGGTCTCCCCACAGGCATAATGTCACATGTACAGTTTTTTTTCTAACGTGTAATGTTTGGCTATCGGAGTGCTAGTTCTCAGAGTAGGACCATGTGGAAGTCAAAAGGTCCCCCGTGCTTAGATGTCAGGCAACAGATCGGGCTGTCGTTAACATGCTTCAGGAGGGAATTGTCGATGAACTGCGTTTTGGTTATCTTAACTGCATGATTCAGGACCCAAGATTTTTTTTTTTCTCTCGCCTTAACTGGCCATTTTGGCTGTGTGAGGTTATACATAGAGAGGCAAACAGCATGGTTTTGAAATTAGAGAGATCTGTGTGTAAATTTTATCACCACTTACTAGAAACTAGATTTGAATCTTGTGCAAATGACTAAATCTCTCTGAGCCTCAGTCTCCTCATCTGTAAAATGGAAGTGATAACACATTAAAAGATTGTTATCAGAGATAAATAAGATTTTAGTAGATAAAATGTTTGGCATAGGGTCAAATGGTTACACATTTTTTAAAAATCTTTATTGTTCAGATTATTTGGTTACACATTTTATAAATGGTAGGGTTTTAAGTGTTTACATAAAGCTAAAAAATCCCTTGATCTATTGTTTTGTCTATATGAAATGCCAAAACTGGTTTGATTACTTTATTAATTCACAGATATGATCAGGTGTTTTGATATTATGTAACAGTGTTGGCTAATGCCCTTCTACTAGCTAATGTCTTTGAATGATTAACAATTAGTAGAATATTCCTAAGGGATTTATGTGTTTGATTAATGGCTAGTGATATGATTAGGGGAAGCGTTAGCACATTGAACAAACCCCAAAAAGATAGTTTTTAGCACTTAAAGTATCAAAGTCTCCAATGCTGAGATCCTTCCATACAATAAGAATTGATTGTATCTGAGAAAGTGATAAATTGTGCTGTTGTTCATTTTTTAAATAAATAAATGGCTCATTTAAAAAGCATCCTTTTTGCCCAGGCTGCGTGTGGCCCATTGGTTGAGTGTTGACCTTTGAACTAGGAGAATACAGTTCGATTCCCAGTCAGGGCACATGCCCAGATTACAGGCTCAATTCCCAGTAGGGGATGTGCACGAGGTAGCTGATCAATGATTCTCTCTCATTATTGATGTTTCCATCTCTCTCCCTTCCTCTCTGAAATCAATAAAAATATATTAAAATTAATAATAATTTTTTTAAAATAAAAAGCATCCTTTTGATGAGCTAGGGCACCTCTCCCCCCATCCCCCCCACCTCCCTGGATAGTTAAATAGATAAGTCTTTAAAATTCAAGAGGTGTCAGTCAACACATACTCCTGATATTCCTACACTAGATGGACTTCAGCTCTGACACCGAAAGCCTGAATTGATCAACCTAATCAGTGAGCACATCTCCACTCTGCTTTTGCTGGGTGGACCAGCCTCGGCAAGCACAGATGCTGGACAATGTTATAGAAATAGTTCCCGGCTGCTGCAGGGTAATGTGATTACACGTATTTAGAATCACAGAGGGAAGCCAAGGAACTGGTTTTTAAATAGCCCACACAGAGTGTGTGCCATGCCCCTGTGTCCCATGCTCCGAGTGCCTATGGAACATTCCAGCCCTTATTTCTGAAAGCAGTTCAGGTTTCAGAAATAACAAAAGGGAGAGCAATTCCTACCCTGTAGGTCCTTACTTAACTCACGTTGGCTAACTTCCATGTGACAGATTTATGCTGGGGCCGATCTTATGCAGAATGGCCAGGGGTCAAAGTTTGTCTCTAATCTCCAGGACCCTGTTTCTGAAAGATTTTGCTCCCATTCTTCCTGCCCGGTGTCCTCTGCTTCCTCCCATCTTTCCTGAGGAAATAGTAAGCTCATTTTCACTGAAGAAATAAATGCTAAGGTTCCAAATGTGAACTGCGCCGTAATCATAGCAGTGGTGGATATGGATAGTTCACAGACTAAGAGAGTTCTTCTGTGACACAGAGCCATCCAGTGCTCTGAAAACCCGCTATGGGCTGCCAACCCCCAGTAGGACAAGATGACCAAGGGGCCCTAATTTGCCTTTGCATGACTTTTGCCATTGCTTGGAGTTTGCAATGAATTCTAACAGCATTTGTAACAGATTACCAACCTGACCTGTCATATCCTGCAAAGTGATAAACCTCAGAATCAATTCTGTTTGATTGACATACAAAGTCAATTGGTTTCTTGCCTGTTGTTGAGCAGGGAAATGTCCCATTCCCATCACCCACCCTAACAATCTGATAAATTCATTATGGCCCCAAATGCTTTTTCAGACCTTCTGTAGAGACATGATGAGAAGTACTTTTGGAAATGTCGGCCTGGGGTACTGAGGGAAACAGTTCCTCCTTAAATTGCACACAGTGTCTGGGGAAAAGATCCTGATAGGCCGTGGCTGACAGTGTGTGTGGGAGAATAACAACAACAAAAAGCCGACACTTAGTAGAGAGAGGAGAGAAGGAATAAAATTATCAAATAAAAATGTATCAGATTAGTTGTATAAAACATATATTTTTAAAAATATCTAATTTATTGTTTTAAACAACCTTTTCCAAGAAAATGCAATTTCATTGATGTTTTCCACAGGGCAGGTTGTGAAACATACCCAGTGAGAACAATTATTCATCCTAGTTTGCTTTTCGTGATAGGGAGTGATGCTTGTAATGAATGCAATTTACAGAAATGAATGTGTTTTCACAATTACAGCCCTGTTCTTCTCAACTACAGACTGAAATCCCCAATGATACATACTCATTACAGAAGTAAAATTCAAATTTAAGAGTACAAAATGTGGCCACTTTGCCATTTGTTTATAACATTTTTAGTAACACAAATGCCTCCAACTCTTAAGAGAGTTCTAGCCCTAGCTGGTTTGGCTCAGTGGATAGAGCATTGGCGTGTGGACTGAAGGGTTTCGGGTTCAATTCCAGTTAACCTGGGCATATGCGTGGGTTGCAGGCTCGATCCCCAGTAGGGGGCCTACAAGAGGCAGCCGATAAATGATTCTCTCTCATCGTTGATATTTCTATCTCTCTCTCCCTCTCCCTTCCTCTCTGAAATCAATTAAAATATATATATATAAATTTAATAAAAGAAACATTTTTTAAAAGAGAGAGAGAGTTCTATTTGCAGGAAGTAAATTACAGGGCTGGTGCTGGTAAGATGCTTTAAAAAAAATCTGCACTGCTGAAACTGGTTTGGCTCAGTGGATAGAGAGTCGGCCTGCGGACTGAAAGGTCCCAGGTTCAATTCCGGTCAAGGGCATGTACCTTGGTTGCGGGCACATTCCCAGTGGGAGATGTGCGGGAGGCAGCTGATCGATGTTTCTCTCTCATCGATGTTTCTAACTCTCTATCTCTCTCCCTTCCTCTCTGTAAAAAAATCAATAAAATATATTTTTTTAAAAATCTGCACATAAAAATTCAGTGTGACCAGAAAAAAATTTCTATTTATTCTAATAAGATTGTATCTCATTTGAAGCAATAGAACTGACCCCTCTGAGGAGAAATTTTATTTATTTTTTTATTAATCCACAATCAACATAAGTTCATAGTCCATAAAATATCAAAACTGAAAATAAATCGGGGTTTTGTACGTAGCAGAGCAGCTCCCTCGCTGTGATCTATTGAAAGTCAGCCCTCGACACAAGGGTTTGTAAAAAAAGAAGATTAAAAAAAAATTTTTTTTCTAATTTAAAAAAAAAATTTAAAAAAACTGAAAATAAAAATGCTAACAACATGAACAAGATAAATAATAAATCCATCCTTACTAAAGTTTTATACTTTAGTCCTTCAAAATATAATTTGTCCAGGTAAAAATATCCATGGCCTATCTCACCTTTATAGGGATTAGCCTCTTTTTCTATTCCTCTTTATATTACAAATATAAGACAAATGTAGCACTCTTCAATGACTACTCAAGCCAGACCTATTGGCTAAGAGGGCTTCTAGAGGAATTATTAGCTTCTTATGGATGAGCATGCTTCAGTTTGTGCAGAGCTGATGCCCCCACAGACCAAGAAGTACAACGGACCAAGAAGTAAAAATTTTAATCATCTAGGCTGTTTTGTCTACAATTTTCCCAGTGACCCATAGCTTTGATTTTTAAATTTTTTAAAAATATATGTTTTTACTGTTTTTTTAGAGGGGGAGAGAGAGAGAGAAACATCAATGTGAGAAAGAAACATTAATTGGTTGCCTCCCACATGTACCCTGACCAGGATCAAACCCACAACCTGGATATGTGCCCTGACCAAGAACTGAACTGGTGACCTTTCAGTGCATGAGACAACCCTCAACCAACTGAGCCATGCTGGCCAGGGC